TTTGGTGGTTATTAGTGTATTACAAAGGTACTAAACAGATTTCAGTACTTCAATAGGTTGGTGTATTAACATTATATCAGTTAATGAATGGTAGGTATGTAACTGTAAATTTAAGTTAAAACCGTAAAACCTAAAACGTTGCTACCGTATTTTTTACGGTAAAATTCCGGCAACCACAGCTGCCGTTTTTTTACCGTAAATTTTACGGAATTTTTTTTACAGTGTAGGTATGTATTGGAGTATGTATATGTGTATGTGTGTGGTTTACTGTCTCAGTGTCCTTGTTCTCCAGCGGATCTAGCTTGTTTGAGGAGGATCGATAGCCTTGCTGGCTGTTTTAGATGAAAGCAGTGTTCGACTGAATTACTCCTGCCATCACACTTTCTCGCTCGCTCGCTCTCTCAGATACACACACTATTGTATTTATTGACTCTTTCCCCCTCCATCTCTTTTTAATTGGACTGACTGGATTCTTTCTGTGGATGCCCCACTTCCTGTCATTCCTGTTATTCCGTACCAAGATTCCAAGTAAAGCTGCATGCCACAAATATTTGTTTTCCATAGCTGCAAAAGGAGTGGTACTTTGACAATGTTGTTAGTTAATTCATCATGTGCTGTCCGATTCAGTGTAGTCTTTGCATGCCCAAAAGTGCTGCTGTGCTTTTCCCATCACTGACGCTCAGTTTTGTTCATAATACATGTTTTGTTCCCCTTCTCTGTACGTGTGTGTGTGTGTGTGTGTGTGTGTGTGTCCGAAGGCCCTGTGTGCTGCAGTGGTTCTCCCTGACATCCTGCAAACCATGGCCATGGTTTTCAGTGGGGCGGATGTGATGTGTGCGACAGGTGACCCTGAGTACTCCACCCCGTATCTACTGGCTCAGAAAGCTGGCCAGAGGCTGCAGATGGAGTTTCTCCACCACAACAAGCTCTCAGGTGTGTGTGCTTAAGAAACTCACTTCATCATGATGTGTACAGGGCGCCGTACTTTGCAATATCTTTTGCAATATATGTGCCACCACATATACACTACTGTTCAAAAGTTTGAGTTTTTTGAGAGAAATTACTACTTTTATTCATCAAGGACACAGTAAATTGAGCAAAAGTAACAGTAAAAGTATATATTTTTTCAAATACATTGTTCTTTTGAACTTTCTATTCATCAGAGAATCCAGAAAAAAATGTATCACTGTTTCCACAAAGATTAAGCAGCATTTCAGAATGATTTCTGAAGGATCTTGTGACACTGAAGACTGGAGTAATGGATGCTTAAAATTCAGCTTTGCCATCACAGAATTAAGTTACATTTTAAAATATATTAAAATTAAAATTGATTTGAAGTTGTAGTGGTATTTCACAATATTACTGTTTTTACAGTATTTTTGATCAAATCTATGCAGGCTTGGTGAACGTAAGAGACTTCTTTCAACCAGCATTGGCAGCTTTTTGAAGGAATAGAGGATAAAGTTGTACCAGAAGTGAACATGTTATCAAATATGCATGAAAGAACTGCTGTGTGTAAAACCTATAGTCAATGCAAATATTGAGAAGACATACACTACTGTTGAAAAGTTTGGGAACAGTATGATTTTTAATGCTTTTGAAGAGTCTTATGCTCACCAAGGCAGCATTTATTTGATGAAAAATACAGTAAGAACAGTAATATTGTGAAACATTATTACAATTTCAAATAACAGTTTTCTTTATTAGTGTATTTTAAACTGTAATTTATTTCTGTGATGGCAAAACTGAATTTTCAGCAGCAATGTTGAAAACAGTTGTGCTGCTTAATATTTGTATGGACACTGTGATGGAAACATTTTTTCAGTATTCTTTGATTAATAAAAAGTGCAAAAGAACAGCATTTATTTACAATAGATATTCTTTGCTGAATAAAAGCATTAATGTAAGTACTTTAATATGAAAAAAAAAAATCTCGCTGACCCCAAATGTTAAACAGCAGTGTAGATCATAAATGACATGGATCGTTTTACTGTTTTCCTGTTTTTCATTTTAATACACTCTGCCTGTATTGATTAGTGAAGTCTAACTGGTACTCACAGTCAGATTTTCATCACAATTGGCATTTCTCACAGGCTAATGGAGGACTTTAATACACACACAAATCCTTACCTCAAGAAGGCATTGCCCCTGAACGTGTCTATAATTAGCTGTAGACTGTGTATGTGTCATTACATTGCTCATTTGGGGCCTTTACTGAAAGTGTGCCAATGATCCTAATTAAGATATCCTCCAGTCAGCACAGGCACAAATGTTTTACAGTGTTCTGCCAATGTTTTGTTAAGCTTACTAACACTGTAACAACAGCAGGACAACATTTGTGTAACCTCTAAATCTGTGTGGAGCTATGGCCTCATTAACTTAATGGCTTGCAAATGTGATTCTCAGTCAGATAATTCAGTAATCATCTTACACACATACACACACATTCAACTTGCAACCAGTTCCATTGTTTCTTTTGGATTACTACAGTCTAATGGAAAAATACACATACGCATACATTTGAATATATTACTGATGCAGGTTCTCAATTTGCTCCAACTTCCCTCCATCTCATTATCACTTTTAATCCTTCTCGTTCGAACTGAGAAGTATCTGTCGCTGTAAGGAAGAGATGGATGGATGGAAAGATCTTTTCAATGAAAGTTATTTGAACTTTTTCCACGCTGGCAACTGGAAGTGTGTGATTAAAATCTCATTGGTACTGCCGGCCTTCCCGAAGAAAATTGAACCTGAGCATTGTGGCTAATTGAATCAAAATGTGATAAGGTAGTAGGCAGAAAAAGGAGTTAAAGGTGCAATAGGTGATTGTCTTCAGAAAAATTTTTTGTTATGATGGTTGAAAGTCTCTTCACATCCCGATAGCAATCATATTAAGTTAAGTGGTCTAAATGTATTTATCTGTATTTATATATTCTGTGGAAGGCGTAGGATTAGCATACCTCTGCGCACCCTGTTCGCGCAGACATGATACGTCATCAGCTCATTCTTGTACGCTGTGCAGACAGAGCGAGAATGCCAGAGAATCAACAACCCGATTTTCCTTCCTGGTATTGTAGTACTTTTAAAGTTTTCTCACCGGTGAATGACACATGATGTAGCCCAGCCGTTCCCAATTCCAGTCCTCGCGATTCAGATAACCAGCTCGTTAGAAGTGAGCTACGTGCATGAACTGTGTTCCGATCTATATGATCCCTACACAGTGTTCATTGCTCCCTACTCCCTGAGCGGGGTAAATCCGTTGAAGTTTACTTCACTTTGGAACATGGGCTGGAATTGGGAACCGCTGATGTAGCCTATTGTAGTAATCTTGTCTCTGGTATTCTGGTCTGTGAGCGTAAATGCGTTCAGGGGGCGTGGCTTTGGACAGCGATTGCAGGGAGGGTGGGACGTTCGCTTTCAGTGCTATCAGGCTAAAGTTAGCATTTTCCAAGATCTCCTACTGCACCTTTAAAGTGAAGGAGGCAAATAGGGAGAGCAGATGAAGAGGTAGAGCGGAATGAGGGGAGCAGAGTCAAATCTTCTAACCTTGACCTTCTATGTTTGGATGGAAGTTTTACAAGCCTTCTAAACAAATAACCTTGGAAAATGAGAAATGGATGAAATTTAGCTGTTACAAGCTGATTGACACCTTGCATGAAGACTGACTGGTTATCAAGAAGCTTCTGAGGTAAATAGTTGTTAAAAACTTTGAATTTCACTTGAAAGCAGCAGGAATAGTGAGCTGTGTTTGTGACTGATCCCCATTTAAACAACATTTCTCCTCCTCACCACATTATAGGATTACTCCTAATCAGCTGTTCTCCATTTTCTTTTTAATCTCTGTTTTCCCCCCTCTTTTCTCTCTCTTTATAGATTTTCCTAAGCTGGAAGCATTATGTGACAGCAGTTTTCCGGCTGATGTTCCTTCTTTTATGGATGGATTTCTCTATTGCTCTGTGAACGCCAGCAAGGCCACTCTGGACCGGAAAGGAAGACCCGGTGAGTCTGTCTGTCCTTGCATTCATCCATCCAAACACCCACCTCCTCAGTTATCCATTCATCCAAATAATTACCTATGAATATTCATCTGCACTTCCTGTTTATCCTCACCCATGACTGAAAATGGTTGCACCGTATTTGTGCAATATCATTATGCCCTCCTTGCATTTGAGTACCCCATCCTTCTTACACTAAATCCCCCCAAAGATGTTATTCTTTCAAGTATGTTTCCCCATCGTCTCTCCGGCACCCATTGTGCTCACGCTGTTCTCTTCCAAGCATCTGGAGAGGGCCGTTGGTGGTTAGACAGAAGTTCTCATTAGGGAGTGGGCCAGGAAAGGGCCCTACATTAAGCTGGACTCTTGGTGGAGTAGCACAAGCATCTGGAGCACATGTTCCACTGTAGTAGCTGTTTTTTTCTTCTTCTTCTTTTCAGCTCGTCTCTATCTTGTATCCCTAGGGACATCTGTCTCAAGCTGTGGTAGCCCGCATTGGTCCTCTGCCTGTTTTCCCTGATACCACTGCGTGTGTGCGTGTGTTTAAGAGCAAATAAGCAAGCTGTGTTTTAGAATTAGGCTCCGATAGTTGAAAATGGTTTAATGCAGTTCTAAGTATCTTAAAAGTAAATGCGGTGACTGTTTGAATGTTTAAAGAACGTTTGTTATGATAATAAACAGATGCCTCATTCTTCTTTGCACAAAAAGGAACTTCTGCAAAATAGATGAGAATCTGACAACTTTCCTGAACTGCCATCAATGTGGTGATAAAACTTTGGAGTGTTTTTGAGAAATTCTCAAATAAACCACGGTAGCTCTTTGTGAAAAAAGAAGTGCGTACCGTTCTTCAAATCTTGAAAGAATTTTAAGAAGAAAAAAAAAGCTCTACTTACTGATAGTATGATATTTATGAAATAAAGGGTCACTTAAGTGAACTTAAGAGAGTACACTTTCATGACTATGTTTTATAACATACTAAGTATACTTTTAAAAAGTGCACATTGAAACAACACCAAATTAAACGCTTTAATGTCCATTTAAGATAATAATCTGTTAATAATCTTTTGTCATGCTTTAAAGATGCACACTTATTTTGATGTGTTGACTAATATTCAGTTTGCTCTTTCAAAGTTCAGACATCCAATTTGTATATTCTTTTCATTTCTGCAAGAAGTACTCTTTTTAAAAGTAGGCTAAAATGAATTTTTTCACAAGTGTAAATATAGACAAAAACTTCGAATTTTGGCTTGGGTAATGTTAAAGCAGTGAAAAATCCCATCGACTTGCATTGGAGGAGGGATGTGAGCCAAATCAGAGACCAGAATATCGTAGTGATGTGGGACTTTTCTTTTAACTTGGGCCAGTAATCAACCACCTAGCACCAACCCTAGCAACCACATTGCACCATTCTAGAAAACACTCAGAATACCTTAGTAACCACATAACTATGCACTGGCAGCCACCCATAACACACTAGCATAGTGACGGTGACTCTTTAGACTTTTCAGAAAAACATCTCACTTATCTTCACACAAAATATGAAAAAAAATATGAATCTTTTGGTTCTCTTCTGCTTAGAAACAGTAGTTCAGACAACATTTTTATTGTCTGATTTGTGCTGATTTACAGCTCTAGAGAATCATTAGTTTGCTGTCCCCATCCTTCCCTTTTATTATTTACTGATTTTGTCCTTGTAAGGCAACGTTATATAAAATATCTTACATGGCTCTATAAAAGAATCGCAGATTCACAGCTGAAAATACCTTATTTCATTACAAAAAAAAAGTGTGCAGATACATTAATGGTGCTGTAATAGTAGAGTCCTTCTAAAATATTCAGAGGTACAACTTCGAACAGTGCATTTAAACTTATTTAATCAACAGGAAAATGTTACTTGAGCTATTCTTAGAAAAGAACTTATTTTCAAAGCTCTTCCATTGAGGCTGCCTTAATGCCTTAAACACTAATGGTCTAAAACGTTCTATATAAAACTTTATGTCAATAATTTATGGTTTCGTCCTGGGGATTTTAATAAAAGCACAGTCTGCTGGATTTGAGGCTGTCCGGTTATTGCACTGACTTCACTTTTAAGTTGTAGCAACATTTTTTTGCTACATACAGCACACCACACACTACTAACAAGAAAGTACCCAACCACGCTGAATATGCTTAAGGGGAAATATATTTTTTACATACTATCCAATGATTTGGGTTTATGATTTAAGTTGAGCCATATTTCTCTGCCACACTCAGATACTGTGATGCTACTGAAAATGAAGTTTAGTCAGTGTCGCTGCTTTTAGTTGTTCCCTAACACTGAATGTAACACATGATCAGAAAACACGAAAAGTCTGATTTCTGATTTAAGTGTTTCAGTGTTGCTTCAATGTTTCAGTACTTCAGTGTTTCAAACATTCAAGTTTCACAGTTTGCGGTGTTCATCTCTCTCCTCTGTTTCTGTTCGTAGCAGTTCTGTTCTCATGTACATTCAGAGCTTGGATTTTTTTTTCATCCAATCATGTTTCTTTTGCTCTCCCTGTCTCTGTCACACTACTTAATCTCTCTAAATTCTCCTCAAATATAACAACACAAAGACAAAGGCACATGTTTTTCATTTATTTGGCCTTGATATTCTAAAAAACAAGGGTTATACAATTCATTCACAGCAGTATTATGCAGCATTAATGGATTACTATAATAATGGTTATCATTGTGAATGATATTTTGATTGTGAATGTGCATACATTTGAGTGTTTAGGGTTGTGCACCATTCAGAATTGAATTGACCCTTTGCCAGGAGTTTGACTGACAGGCGATCTGACTACTCATAATGCCAAATCTGCTGTTTTGTCTGACAAACAAACCAGACAAACTAACATCGGTAGACTTGAACTTGAAAAATGGTGTGTAGTGATGTCTTTCCGTGGTTGAAACAAGATACTTTCTGATGTTCCTTCATGTTTATTTTGTGCTATAACTAGTAAAGAGGAAGAGATGATCATTCACGTGCTGCTTGAACTGAGGCGCTACAGCGTTCTGTCAAGGCAAATTAAAGAGCCACAAAATGGTATTTATTGTTTGAATTTCTTAAGAAATGACAGCATTTAAAAGTTGAGACTTTGTTTCATACCAAAAGTAAGCTGCTCTGTCTTGCCTCGTGATGTATTTTTTCACTGCGTGAGAACATGATGTGTGGCATGAGAGCGCCATTGGCTTGTCGGAAGTAGCAACAGTAACTAACGGGTGCGGGACTTTGCGAAGGGTCAATTGAGAATGTAATTTAAATTCCAATTCAGTTCCTCAGTGAATTCAGCCAGTTGGAACTCTGGTTGCTCAAACTAGATGTGGAAGTGCTGTGTTCAATAATACATTACACATTTCTATAAATAATCAATGTTTGAAATGCTATTTAAAGATAATTTTATGAACCATGGTGGAAGATTTTACTATTTTACTCTGTTGTTATTATTATTATTTATCTACCCAGAATGGCAGCTAAACAGAACTCGAGTTATCTGTTGCTGTTGGGTTGGACTAAATTTTAATTTTAATTCAGTAAATTCCTCTTCCTGTCATTTCAGTTCCAGTTACACATTATATGGGGTGTTGCCAATTCGACAGCGACATTCCTCTGTGTGTGTGTACTTGTGAAACGCCCCATGCTCTAAAGGGGATAATGCATCTATAACAATCTACCATTGCCTGTCACTGCTGGTAGCTGTGTGTCTCAGAGCCGGGGCAATTTCTCAATCGAGACTCATTCATTTCTTTCATCTGGATCAATGTTGAAATCCATTCATTGCAAACAATGTCCATCCGCAAATGAAAGAGGTCTCCCATAAGGTTTCCGCCTGTGTAAATGATAAAACAAGATTATTTTGAGGCACGTCCATTGATGACTAAGCTCTGAACCATGCTATGCTGAGCTACAGAAACCAAACTCACATGAATATGAGTCACTTTACTCACACATAATAAATAAATGCTCACAACTTTCAACAGTCTCTCAACAGTTTTACACTAAGGTCTGTTTCACAATGCACATGAAAGGATCACATATTTATTTTTTGCATCCATGTTAATAGGTTACAGTATTCACAATGCTTGCCCCTAGAAGCAGTTCTGTGTACCGGGAGCGAAGGTGCGTGTTTGGTGCTTAGCCTTTTTCTGCTCGTACTAAATTGAACCTGGCAGAAAATGCATTTCAAACCTATTTTTTTCTGAACAATCTTTGTTATATAGCTATATTTAAAGCAATATAAACTACTTCAGTAAACTACTCTCCTGTTGTTTGAAGACATTTGTTGGGCTCCATGCACACATAGTGACTGCACTGTCTATTCGGTAAATCTGACAGAATCCAGATGATTCAATTAGGTTATAGCTCCAGTTTGGGTTTTCGTGCCATTCTGTGTAGATTAATTTCCATCTGGAGGTAAATTTGATTCCACTCCTCATGTTACATATCTCCTCGTAAATTACATTTCATGACTGTCAAGTTTGTAATGATTCTCAATGGACAACTCCTGATTGTGATTTATAGTTGTTATTAATGAAAATTTGCAATACAGTAGCACAGAAATCACTTTATTTTTGTATAGAGCAGCATAAGCCTGCTGTTGTATTTACATTGCTGTTTTCCTTATGTGTGCGCTGTGAAATATAACTAATTTTATATAGTTGGTTAAGTGACTTGTTTTGTTGCAGTGTCAAATTAATGTGGAATTTGACAATTATAGTAGATATATGCATATCTATATATGCTACCGTTCAAACGTTTGGGGTCGGTAAGATTTTTTAAATATTTAAAAAAAAAAAGTCTGCTCATCAGACTTCAAGGCTGCATTTATTTGATCAAAAATACAGTAAAAACTGTAATATTGCGAAATATAATTAACATTTAAAATAATTGTTCTATTTTGTTTAAAATGCAGTTTATTCCTTTGGAAAAGCTGAATTTTCAGCAGGCATTACTCCAGTCTTCAGTGTCACATGATCCTCCAG